AATGAAAATTTTTGAAAATTTCAATAAAAGTATGCATCAGCAATAATTGGGAGATATACAGAAGCGAAATGCGAATGATGGTGGGTTATCATCATAGGTGGGTTATGGGTTATCATCATAGGTGACCTGAAAACAAAATATGTACATTACTTGAGAAATTAAGTTTAGTTGATCAAAGGGATATTACTAAAACAAAACTAAACTATTACTAAAACTACAATGGGAAATCAGATGAGGATACAGACATAAAGGTAATGGTAATGGGAATGAAGGATTTTATTGGTCTTTAGTAGGGGCAGCGAAGCGCTACGGTTCCAGCTACAAATGCAAGGATGAAAATCGGAAGATATTCGCAATAGTTTTGATCCTAAGATCCATTCCCTAGATCATTTTTTCTTAAAATATGAATAGTAATAGTTCCATGAGGACACGTTGTTCTTTAAAGTACTTACAATGTTGCTAGGCACGGGAAATATCAAATCAGGTGGTACCATTATATGGTGGTTATATGCCTAATCGTTGGTCAATGCCTTTGAACTCATAAACACAACACCTCGCATATATCCGATACCACAAATGTGTATCACAGATAAAACTAATATACGATGCCATTTTCTGTGAAAAATTCATTAAGTATATATCAAAAAACAAGTGATGTTTTTTTCGTATTGAGCCTGTGACTATAAAATTGCAAATACCTTAATATATCAAATAAACTTAAACTTAAATATAACTTTGCATATCTTCTAATATGTAGATTCCTTAAATCGGTCGGGACATTTATATGGGAACAATGTTACAACACTATGTGACAGTAGGTTGCCCATGCTCTTTAAAAATAATGTACAGACACTCAGGTTGGAAAAAGGGCTAAGAACTTCAAATATGTATGGCGCCTTTTTAATACTTTAGACCAACTCTATGAGAAATTTTGACCAAATAAAACATTACTACCACTTTGGTTGACACACTGGAACCAACTCCCCAAAATACCGAATATTTTGGGTACCGTTATATGGGAGCTACCTCAAAGAGTGGACCAATATAGATACTTTTAGTACCATTCATTCTACCAAATAAAACAACCAAATACCAAATTACTGCCGATTAGATTTAAAAATTATATGAGGGATATTTGGAAGCTTGGGCGAATAAAAAATTTCAGCCAAATACTGAATATTAAGGGATATATATGGGAGCTATCCGAATACTTGGGTCAATATTGATATTATTAATGTAATGTTAAATTTTCAATATCAACTATCATATAAGTAGAACGCCGAAAATTATACATCAACAATATTGCTAGGCAAGACAACGTTTGCCGGGCCCGCTAGTATATATATATATATATATATATTTTATGATTATTATATATACTTTATAATTATTATATGATTTTTTCGATGAGTTATTAACAGAAAAACTAAGTTAATGTACCCTCCATACCATGGTGGTACAAATATACCCGGTTATTGATCATTGGGTTAAGTCGGTTCACATATAGACACATACCACATATTTAACTTAGTCGAATTTCATGCCAATGGTCATTTTTGAAGGACCATTGACATGAACGGTCCTTCAAAAATGAAGTTTGTTAGGATGTACTCTTGAAAATAGTCAAAGTGGTAAAGGGTATAATATAGTCGGCCCCGTCCGACGTAACTACTTTCCTTACTGGTTCTATTATAAACAAATTATTTACTAGACAAATTATTTCTTCACCTCCCGTGGTAGACAATTGTAAGGAATCGCGTTGATGATTCATGGATTCTTAAATTTTTTTAGTAATTTTTAAACATGAAGCAACTTTAGTTTTTTTATGTATAGGGCCGTCCAAACGTTTTTATCAGTTACATTCTTTTTCTGTCTAATAAACATAAAAATGGTCGTTGTAGCCTCGTTTGACTATACGGGTACATAATAAACTATTACTACCACAATTTAACACAGAATTACATGTTAACCTAATGGGAGACATGTTCTAGATTAAAGTGATTCACAAAAATATACAAAACACCCTTCGCGCATTGAATCACATCAACATTTGTTTCTACTTCCTCCTGTTACAAGAGACGGCCTGCCTGTCTGTCTGACTATCTAACATACATCTTAATTTTGTACAGAGGACATTATGCTCGTTGTCTAGCTTGCCATTACAGCAGTGTAATTTCCATTTCCATTTATTTGGCAATTCATGCTAACAACACTTTGTCATTTTGCCATTGGCTTGGTGTTCCGTTCCGTTCGTTGGTTCGTTCGTTCGTCGCATGTAGTGAAAGTTAAACTTTTAATTAAACCAGCACGAGCTTCTTTCAATAATGGCAAATAATTGAAACATCTGCTCACCACATAGCCATATGTTCCGGATATATTTGTGGTTTTTGTGGAAAGTGACAATTTAAAGGTGCAACAATGTGTCGCATACTCGTACACATCTCTTTAATGTACAACATAAGGAAGTTAGAAAATACAGTTGAAGTTGGGGAATGAAACCATGTTGCTATATAAAGAAAGACAAATCGCTATGGAGATATTATATTGTATGAGAAATTCTACATTTACTATTTAATAAAAAGTATTATAGATAAGAATTTTTATTACAGGGAAGTTAGTTTTAATATATTATTTTCTTATTATTTGTTGAACTTGATAAATGACAAAAAACTGTTTCTTCGCCGATTAGAGGTCAAAATTCCCTCTTTCTTACTCAGGAATATTTTCCAAATTTGGTTTTTCCGGGGTGAGCATTTACGCCATAATATATCATTTTACGCAGAAAAGTTTTGGTTAATTAGGTCCATTTCTCGTGTGATCTTCGGCTTATAATTGTAGCATAAAGAGATACTAAAACCAGTAAGGAAAGTTTAAAAGTCGGACAGGGCCTACTATATGATACCCTTCACCACTTTGGGTACTAATCTGAAATTTATGAATAATTGAAACTGGACAAGCGGGCGGACACAAATATCTAGAACGATTTAGCTAATCGGGATATGATCATCGATTGATATAGCTCACATATATATTTTCGTCCGATTTTATGTAAATGGAGCAAAATACATTTGCACGGCATACTGAATTAGGTCTGGATTGATGTTTGCTAAGTTTGGTTGGAATCGGTTCAGATTTAGATATAGCTCCCATACGTAGTTTCCTCCGATTTTATATAAATATTGCACCATATTGTCAATCATTATCAATCAATAAAATTTACTATAGGTTGACATCCATATTGAAATTACAGCATGTTGACGTCCGTGAAATTTTGTTGAAATCGTTTCAGATTTGGATAAAGCTCCATATGTATTTTCGTCCGATTTTATATAAATTGAGCACCATACTCCCAATACTTGTCAGATTGATACAACATTTTGTAGAGAGTACTGTATTAGGCCTGGATTGATGTATGCGAAGTTTTGTTGGAATCGGTTCAGATTTAGATAGAGCTCCTATATATAGTTCCGTCCGATTTTATGCAAATGACCCACCGAGTAGTCTATGGTTGGTCTACATAGAACATGTTCTATTTGCACTATATATTGTTACTGAAATCGGTTCAGATGTAGATATAGCTCCCTCACATATTTTTGACCGATTTTAACAAATGGTCCAAATGGAGGACCATTTGTTTAAAATCGCTTTACATGAAGTATAGCATAGCGTATTGGATTGAAGACGTTTCAGATTTATATATAGTATCCAAATATATATTCATCCAATTTTATCAAAATGATGTACCAAGTAACTAAAGTTTGTCCGTTTAGAACGAATTTGTTTGGTATGTGTATGGATTGTTTTAATTTAGTTTAAATATCTATGTACTTCCCGCAGTTAATTTTGTCCGATTCAATTTCAATGGTCCTCCATATATGCTGTGTATATTCTACCTAAAGGAAATTGTACATATGAGCATCTCTTGTATGTACTCAAAGTAAAGGTGAAGGGTATCATAAAGTCGGCCAACTTAGGAACTTTCCATACTGATTTTACACTGCAAGAAACATGAAAGCAAAATTGAGGCCACTTTGGTGACAATATGCCGACAATAGGGCGTGCCTTTCATTATGGGGCTATGTATGTATTTCATTTTTCAAGAAACCTTCAAAAACTAACCTTGCAAAAACTTGCATTTCAAACTACTGCCACTATGGTGGCAAAATGTTGTTAAAACCCTAAACATGCAGACCATTTGGCCTTCATGTCAAATTATTGAACTATATAAACAATTTGCATGTATGCAACCCAAGAATTCGGAATTTCTGCATTTGATTCCTTTTGCATTTAACAAACAAATGCGCAAAAGACAAAATACCCCACACCGCAAGATGTAGTAGGCCAAAAAAAAAACTACAATTTGTTACACAAAAAACGCTGCATCTGTATTATGATGTAGATAAGATTGAAATTGTTTAATTTTTGCCTCAGGCTTATTATAATTGTTTTACATACATTTTTTAGTGTTCAACTTAAAAAATATATGTTTTTATATCTTAATTTTCATGTCATAAAAAATATATATGTGTACACTATACATCTACACACATACATTGTTCAACCCGAGACATAATCTTTAATCTTAAATGAGAAATTTAAGCGATTTTTACCTATTCGATTCAATCATCTCTCATCTGTAACAAATATTTATTATGCGTATTAACGGATTATGGCCAAAGACCAGTGAAACCCAATATGAAAACATGTTAAAAATATTAAATTTATCATCATCGAGAGTACTTAAGCCGCGTTTAAATTGAATTTTGCAACAAAAATACTTGCACACACACACACCTATACACAGCTGCACGGATGTACAAACATTCGTTGGGCAGTTTTTATCCGCCTGACTACATACACACTGGTAAATAGTCCTCTTTTCCTCGTCGCAGTCGCAGTCATCTTCTTCGGCGTGTGTGATGCATGTGAATGCATGGCAACCATTGCCTGGCCAGACACATGCCATGCCATCAGTCTGCCACAAAGAGACCACACGAAACATGTATCGCATATCAACACCCATGTACGACGAGAGCGGCCAGTTGCTGCTGCAGCAGCAGCCGTTCAGACCCGAAAGCAAACCAGAGCGATTTGCAGTATTATCCTTTGATACCCAGCTGAAGTTATGAAATAGCAGCCATATTTTCACATTTTCTGTTCACTAGTTTTTTGCCTTTGTGTGTTATGCATGTGTATGTATATGGACGTGTATGTATGTGTGTGTGTGTGTGTGGGAGAGTTATTTTTGTGACTACTACCGCTACTACTATTCCCTTTATTTTACTGATTGGCAAAGAGCTTTGAACATAACATCGTAACTGTATGAATTTGTGTTCATGTCGTTGTTTTTGTTGTATCCCTTTCAGATGTACACCTGAATCATGCACTGTACCTTACAAATCTATCCGTCCCTCGCATAATTGATGCATCACAAAAAGCGAAGCTCTTCTGCAGTTACAGCATTGGAAACAATACGCTCAACTCGGTTAAATGGTACAAAGACGGCCAAGAGTTTTTTAGGTAAGTTTTCCAATTTGCTGTTGGCAAGCCATCATAAAATGTGGATTATTCAATACTTTTTTTTTTAATTTTTTTACATACGTACATATATTTTGTTGCTTTGGAATTTGTTTATGCAATCATTTTTATGCAAACTTTTTCTATAAATAACATTCAATCCTCGGCATGTATGGTAGGATGCATGTGAGCAAATTCAATACCATTTTAATGTTTCAAATTTTGGCCGAATTTAAAACGAGGTCTTTTCGAAAATGTGGGCTAACAACAGACACCGTGATATTATGAAAACCCAAAATATTCTATTTACTACCAAACATATGGCGGACAAAGACGCAATGATAATAGCAAATGCATTGCAATTTTACTTGTAACAGTTTCTAATAGTGCCAAAGGCGGAATTAATTTAATTAATGAAACATGATGGATGACATTGCGACTTTAATGTTTTATAAGAAACAAAATCCTGTATTGTGGGAAAAATGTAAGGGATGGTTAAAATTTGCGAAGGGTTACTAAACTTGGGCACTATATAACTGTAAACTTGAGGTCTGATGAAACAAATTTAAATTTAACCGTTTCAATCTCACGTTATTGGCGATGGCCTAATAAATAAATGCAAAGGCGCCTTGTAAGCCACAGAAAAGGAAATGCCTTGGAAAGGCCTTGGACCACTGCTAACAATGATAATAAAGCCTGTTATTGTATTTCGTCTACCCTGTACAAGAAGTAGTTTTCAGCAGGTTGGTGATCCAAATCATCGAGTGGCAATGGTCAATAATGAAAAGATTGCAACAATCAGTCTCTACCAATTTGGACAAATTTCGGCAACGCATTCTTCTTTCTGTCCATGTATTATTGTGAACAGGGTACAGGTCGCATTTATGATTCGAAATGGATGAAATTTTGTAAATTGATATTTACTTTAATTATACCCTTTACCACACTGGTACAGGTTATTATGTCTCTGTGCATATGTTTGTAACAGGCAAAAGAAAACGAGATGTACCCATGGTTCCTTCTGCATAGAATCACTTTATTAGTCGATTTATACATGTCTGTTAGTTCGTACGTCCGTCTGTCTGTCCATGATAAATTGTAAACAAAGTGCAGATCGCATTTATTATACGAATGAGATGAAATTTGGCCCAGATTAGTTATTTTCTCAAAGGACGAACTTTATTGGAATTGGTGAAAATCGATTTAGATATAGATCCGATTTTTAGGGAATGGTGCACCAATGAGTGAAATTTAAGCCGATTTTCATAAAATTTGCACAACGTACTGAAGTCAGTACAGCCTAATGTGTGCCAAGTTTTAGTGAAATCGGTTTAGATTTAAATATAGCTCGCATATATATTCTCGACAGATTTTTAGTGAATGATGCATCAGAGTGTCAAATTTAGGCCAATTGGCGCAAAATTTTGCACAACGTACTGAAGTTAAGATAGTCTAACGTGTAACAAGCTTAATTGAAATTGATTTCTTCCGACTTTATAAAGATACCTACGTGATGTGAGCTGTTAATTTTTGTCGAAATCGGTTCATTTTTAGATATTACTCCCATATATATTTTCTATCGATTTGAATAAAGTGTTGTACCAATCTCCCATAGGTTGTCCGATTGAGACGAAAGCGAAAGCGTAAGTCCACTATCGATGAACCGACCTATTTATGTGTATCCGTTAATCTGTCCATTAAGTATAGTAATCAAGCGGAAATTGTGGCGTTTACACAATGCACTTATTTTTTTGTGTTTATTTGCCTTATTTTTGAATAGTGAAAATTGATCTGCTGCTTCTCTTTACTAATCTCTTCTGAATTTCTTCCCCCTTGTCGCTTTTCATACCTCTCTCTCTCTCTTCTAACAGCTCGATAGAATTACTTACAACATTTACATGAGTAAACCCTGAGTTACGAAAAATTAAAAGATTTCGAATTCAAAAGGAAACTGTACATTGCATACTACAGTTTTTTTTTATTTTAAAGATTTTGCAAATCCTTTCGCATCCGAATTTATTATATTGAACCATTTCTGCAATTGACACGATATTTTGCTGCAGACAATGTGGTAATGTTTTAATTTATAAAATAATTTATAGTTTATTTTGTGTATACTAATTTTGATGATCAGTTACGGATATGGAGAATGGAACTGTGACTTCAAAATTATAATGTATCAACTCAAGAAGATACATAGGATTGTATCTGTCCTGTCCAGATATAATTCACAATTCGTCTCAAATGTCCTTAAATTAAATTGGAATTCTGACAATTACACAACAACAAAGACCGAAGAATTCTTCGTGTATACATCTGGCATTGAAATATTATTCCTACATATGCATGTCTATTTTATAATATGTTTGTACATTCAAATCATTCCTACAAACTATTTGTAATTAAATTGAAATGATATCCAATACAGCCTGTCACATCGTGGAAAACATAATTTAATTACAATTAACGACAATTGATGATTGTGAGAAATCATTATAGGTCCATCAATCGATACCGTCTGTCAATACTAATGCGATATGATGTCGATGTGATGCGATGCAATACGACGCGATGCATTTCGATTCGATAATATCGAATGATTTAATAATAATACTAATAAAGTAGTTAAGCCTAAAAAATCCAAATAAACCGAATGCCACGTTTGCAATTGTTAGCCAACTGTTTAATGGCTTTTAATTGCAGATTTATTACCAATTTTGTTTTTGGCATTTGCCGCAGACATTTCATTTCATTTATGATCATCGTGAATTTGGTGATGACAGATAATTAAATTATTCCTATATTGCATTTAAGTGCATTTAAATGGATCGATGGGGAAAAAAGCATTTGCAATTTGACGTTAATAAAATATAAATGGACTTTTATTTAATTGAAACAAAAATGTTATGGACTATTAAAAAATAACGAAAATAGCAAACAATGCCTCGACGACATAATGTGAAATTATCGCCGCTTCAAACTGTTGTGGCCGGAGAAGTAGCTGTGAAAATGTGTCTGCATGTACATATGTATGTATGAGCATGGGTAATTCGTATTATCAGGAAAATACCTGAAACCAGTATTGTGGTTAACCATTTTATATTAAAATGCAAATACCGCGTATTTTGCCTTCGGATATTTAAAATAAACCGTCCACCGCAAATACAATAAGTTTGTATGGTGAGATATGTTGTGGTTGAGTGTGTTATACACTGCGTATCATAACTATAGACGCACCTTTAATTCAATTGGTATGTTAGTTGACAAATAAAATGGACCCATTATGGTTACAATGGTTCACAATAAAACGATCAAAACCACATATTATTCAACAAAGATAATTAATTTATTCTTTATGGTTTCGCTGAATTCTTTTATGAACTGGCGCGTTGTCCTGCTGAAAAACGGGTCCTTCATTGTTGCTGCTTTCCCAAAATGACAATAATTTGTCTTCCAAGACTTGAACGTACTCCATTGAATTCATCCGACAACTAGGAAATGTCAAATAAAGCTTTCCGTGGCTATAAAATGCTCCCAAGACCATTATGGAACCGCCACCGAAATATCGTTTTAAGAAATATCGTGATTCCGTCCGTAGATCCCTTCGATATGTTTTCTTAGTTGATTTTTTCGGACGAGAATAAATTCAATTTTGATGCCCCAGATGGTTTTAGTTGTTATTGGAGAGATCTACGGACGGAATCACGATATTTCTTAAAACGATATTTCGGTGGCGGTTCCATAATGGATTGGGAGCATTTTATAGCCACGGAAAGCTTTAAGTTATACGCGTTGCAAAGTGAAAATCTATGAAACCACGGTTTTCTCTACATTTACCGTTATAAAACTAATTTTCGAAGTGACCCAAAAAAACCAAAGGTATATTCGTGGTCCAGGGACTCCAACTAAACGGAATTGGTACATTAGAACCCCTGAAATTTTTTTTGTTTTGTTTTGTATCACAGTGTTATACATACAGATTTCTCTTGTTCAGTGACTTATGCTAAAAATTGATGGAGAATATTTTTGTCCCTTATACTATCCTTCTAAAACGACATCTTATGGGAACAGTCGGTAAAAACTAGTAAAAAGTACGATATTAACCCTAAAATGAGTTTTTGTTTTTTAAGATTTTTGACGTTTAGGCTGATTTTTGAGTTTTAGTCTATTCTGAGACTTATAGTAAAACTTTATGGCGAACATTTGTGTAGAATATTCTGAGTTTTCAATCACTGAATGAGTTTTCAATCACTCCTGCAAAAGGGGACCGAAAAGACCCCTTTAATGAGTCGGTTGAGGATTAAAGTTGCAGACCAAAATATTCCTCTATATTTTATCAGTAATATTGCCGAAGACACTATATACCTAAAATGCAAGGATTTCAAGAAATCATAATTCGAAATTGATCAAAATTCTTGAAAAGGGGGAATATTGCCCCGCCTTTTTTGGTTACCTCCCGATGTAAACTTTCAAAACGCCGATGCACGTGTCTTCTTTTTTTAGCCCCTCTTTCATAATCTATTAGAATTTCGCGGTAATTATTTTTTGTGTTGCACAGTGTTATTTTTGTTGAATAATATGTGTTTTTGATCGTTTTATTGTGAACCATAACTTAATGGGTCCATTTTATTTGTCAACTAACATACCAATTGAATTAAAGGTGCGTCTATAGTTATGATACGCAGTGTACAATTCATACTCCCAAGATGGCATTCAAATAGAGACAGCACCAGTTATTTGATGATTGAATAATTTTGAATAAGAAATGGAATAGTGATAACAAACTTGAAATGTCGGGAAAACGATTAGAGATTAGAGATTTTTTTAAGTTATTAAGATTGTAATTAAAAATTAAAAAAAAAATCAATGGGAAAAACAATTGTTGGTGGAGACATGTGGTATACTTTTGAAGTTTCTTTTGTAGGTTATGTTTTTTATTGAATACAACTCTAGATATCGGGACGTATCCGCGAGACTATATATGTGTGGAAGATAATAGCGAG